GTCCTCTGTTGAAGAGGATTACGTGACGAAGCAAAAAAACGATGCCAAGCCGGAATACAGTTTCCCTAAATTAAGCTTACCACAATATACAGCCAAATACGGTGCGGGCGAAATCTAAAAGAAAAACGATCCGCTCACACCCAAGATTTTTGGGCTTAATCGCTTCTTAAACGTCACTGAATTGCACGTTTGTCAGAACTCAAAACAACAGTTTCATATTTCCGGCTTAAGCGAATTAAAAAAAAAACACTCTTGTGTGGAACCTAAGGTCTGATTGAAGCTATAATTAAAAACTATATTATTTTGACAAAAGACGATTTGGGGGATTAAATATTTTGGGGGTGGATTTTATTTGCGAGAACACGGAGAAATCGCAAAGTGCCACAATCAGATCTTCCCATCATGCAATGACTCTACTAACAGATACCGGAAATAATATTTAGTTCCGGTACTGACCTTTGCTTCGATTGAAATAACGTATAAATTTCAGTTTTGATTCAGTTTTTTTTTTTCTTCGGTCATCATTTACCAATTTTAGAAATGTAACTCGACTGCAAGTCGCCTGGAAGTCGTTAATACCAATATAACGTTAGATTTGACGAACTCAGCATTAGGGGCTTTTTATACTTCTTATATCACGTGTGGCTGAATCTGTATTAATAATAAACGGGGGGGGGAGAGGGGGAGAGAGAGAAAATGGGTTTTACCCAACCGGGTTAGCTGGCCTAGCGCGCCGAACGCTACGAACGAATTTTTATTTTAATAGTCTATTTTATTTTTAACAACGCTTGGGAGAGAAATGTTCATCGACAGGCTGGATGTGGACCAGGGAACACTTCCTCACATAGGCTATAGGGGAACGAGTACAGTCTTTTTACATGGTATAATTTCTCCCCTGAACCTAACTTGAACTATAGACGGGGTCTTTATTCTAGTTTTCGTTACAACGTGATTAAAACTTTGATGAAGTAAGCCACTCTTCCTTCCTCTTCCCAAGGCCGGGGAGTATGACACTTTCATATTTTGTAGAAAATAAAAAGTCAAGCGTGCACATGGCAAGTACCGTGGCACCGGGAAAAAACACCGGAAGTGTAGTGAACCTTTAAACTGAATTTGGGCCTCGGTAGTTCGCATTCGTTTTCTAATATTTTAAAGGATTGTTACATCCAAAGCCGAAAACTCATTATCTTGGCATAATTAAAACGCTTTGATTTCTCGTCTGCTTAAAATATCTTTCAACTGGGCTCGGCTAAAATCCACGTGAACAGAGGGGTTTCCCCTGTGTCTTTCGAAAAAGAATGTGTAATTATGGCTTCTATATTTCATACAGAAAGTTTCCAAGTTTTTTTTCGCCTTTTTGACTCCAACAGAAGCAACAAAAAGAAAATTTTGTGGCAAAGACTGCATCGTATAACGCAAGACTGTTAAGAGGAAGTGTGTAGTGACTAGTTTTTTAGTATTGACTGGGTGTTCATTCATTCAAAGCCGCATCGTAATTAGCGGCAAAAGTGACCGACTACAAAGTTCCACGTACATTACTTTATGATAAGTGTACATTTGAATCGATCTTGGTTGTTGTCCGAGGCAACATGCATGTAACTGCCAGCAAATAAGCGCTGCCTTCAACTCTCGTCTGCTACGTACTCGTGTAACCAATGATTTTATGAATGAATGAGTGAATGTCTAATGAATAACAAGTGATTTACTCACCCAAACCTTGTAATACGGCGAAAAAGAAACAAATGAAGCTGATTATGGTTGAATCCTTCATCTTAAAGAAGTCAACAGGACCTCTCTCTCTCTCTCTTTGACCAGGAGGCGGTTGCAGTGGCTTTAATACTCGGAAAGCCTGTCCTATCGATCTGCCTGACTGGGGGCATGTAATTCAATGCTAAAAAGTGTCCGCTGTCGTTAGTATTTGACTGTCACTTATCTAAATTATGCAAATCTATTAAGAGGGTAGGTCAGTCATATGACTACAGGTGTGACAGGGAAAACAAAAGGAAAAGCAATTACAGATTTAGGCAGTGACTTCTAAAACAAGGATGGGTTTTTCCCTGCTAAATTTAAAGAGCTAGGCCGTGGGAAAGTTACCAGCGGCATTGAAAATGTCATTTCTGTCCTTTCTTATGACATGCAAAGAATTTATGTGTCAAAACAAAAACGTTTGACACAAGGCAGGCGCTAGTCTGCTACACAGCCGTCTTTAGTGTCGTCACGCAATGCTCCCTCCCAGCGTTGCGTGATGACACTAAAAGCATCTGTGTATCAGACTCCACAACGGTTTTCAAATAAGTGCCCGGGCGCTTATTCGAGGAAGTACTGTACTTTTACACAACGATAGAAACGTAATGGGTTGAATTTAAAGCCTGGTGAATACTTGAGTATAATAATGTCCTTAGCTTCCTTAAGTCTCTTGTGGCTTATTACTGGTAGAGCATTTGGACAGGTACCCAAAAGTTCATAGGTTCGACTCCTATTGGGAGCACCTGGGTTAACTTTAACAAAACTTTTGCACGTGTAATTTACAAGTGTAGCTATTGTTATCAGACTGTAAAACAATGGCTACACCTGTAAATTACAAGTGTAAAAGTTTTATTAAATTGACCCCTGGATTCTTTCTCTAACTGGGTCAGTAACTGAAAAATCATGAATCTAATTTTACTTTAAACTACTTTTATTGTAAATCTTACATTACACGGTTTTTGCTACAAAAAATAAAGTCTCTCTTCTTGTTTACTAAAAAGAGTGTAAAATTTTAACGTGTTTCACAAAACACTACTTATCTCTTTTCATAGAAAAGAACTTCAGACTAACTTCAACTACGTTACAAACTGCAGAAAATAGTTTCCACCATTTTAACGTTTTTACCTAGAAACGTGTTAAGAAAGTTCGTCCATAAAATCTAGAACAAGGAAAACCCTTCGTTTGTTAGTGATCACTTATTATTAAAGTAGTAAATACTACTTCACTGTAAATTCACAGTGTTGTTTTTAAGAACATACAACGCACTTAAGAGTTGTGCGGGGATTAATCTCATGTATTCTGTATGTTCCTTTCTTGTACTTGCTGCTGTGGTTTGTCTTCTTAAACATTAGTCACAAACTGATGATGTGATTTGATTTGGCCTTCCGAGATTTGACAGTCAGATGACCTGTCAGATCCTGCAATTTCAAAAAAGATACATTAGTGTCTAGTTAAAGGGCATGGCTGGAAATAAATCGTCACGTCTGGGTGTTGTTGATATCGTAATTTGTTAGTGGCGAGAAGATCGCTCATTGCCCCTGATCAGAGGCAATGACTGTTCTGCCAGACACCGACAAATCACGATTTTTTGAGAACCAAGTTCAATAATTGTTATGCTTGTTTTGGTTTGTAATTTACTGGGGAAATGCAGAGCCGGTCGCCATCTTTTTTGTTTCCTCAAAGACGGTGTCCAAACTGGGCATGCGCATAAGCAGAGCACTGTCTGTAATGCGCATGAGCGGACAATTGTCCGTAGGCAGTTATCAGCAGTGACTTTGAGCGCTTACCATTTGTATAGAACACTCGAAAATTTCGGTGAGAATTCAAATTGAACGTTTCATCTCCCTGGAAATTTTTCAGATAAAAGGTACACCTTCTTAGGTATTGGCTTTTTCCCACTTTTACCGAAACGATCGAAATTTTCTATACCCTTGCGTGAATTACCAGTGCTAAGAGTGCCATGCTTCCTCTCGAGAAAGAGTAGACAACGGTATTTTGTAAATGGTACAACGCAATCCCGTTCCTTTTTAACTAAACGAAAAACAAGACCTTATCTTTTTACGGAAAATTTTAGCGAACTTTCCGTACAAATGGTAAGCGCTCTTAACGACCTCTGAACCGATCAAAACTTTTGCGTCATAAATTGTGTTATTCGTGATAAAGGGCAACAAGTAGGTTGGCATAATCCGTTATCGAAACTGTCAAGTTGATTTTATTGTTCTACAAACTGTGATGTTATGTTTTCCCTGTTGTGTTTTCGTGTACTTGTTTTGCTTTGTTTCGTGATCAAGGAGACACCCCAACACTACAACTCAACTGCCACGGTTTCAGTTCAGGACAGTTCTCCATAAAGCGAATTTGTTGTTGTTGTTGTTGTTTTTGTTTTGTCTTCTTGCGAGGTTCTTGAAAATACAGGAAAAGCCAAAGTGAGCATGAACGTTAAAAATGTACAGAAAAGTAACCAAACATTTTTCAGCGATAACAAAGCAGAGATGTTAACCTTTATTAAAAACTTTGTCGGCAATGCCCAGTTTTCTTTTAGGACTTCATTATGTACCCTTATAAGATGAGATATAAATTTTCCGCACAGTTGTAAGTCGAGCAAAACTACCGCACGCGCAGAAAGTATGCATCTTGCACTTGTAAAGTATTTTGAAAGCCATTTTATCTACCGCACAGTGCATGCCAAACTATATAAAAAGTGAATTGGTGACTGAATGTAGCCTGTTCCAGACTCCCAGATAGTGAGGAAAGCGGATCGTGAAAAGTTGCGCGAAAACTGCGTCAGAGCTGAGGAGAGACGGAGTAGTTTTCAATACCTTATTCCAGTATACCAGCTCCTGCCTGGTTTACCTTATGATTGGTCTATTGTGACAGTTTATTTCATCATTTGCTACGTCAATTATTTGACACGTTGAAACGAGAAACTGTTTTTTAATAAGTGGGCGGGGTCGTGGGCTACTTCACTGCTCTTTCGCTTTTCTCGCTCGTCCACACTGACTGGGAGCCTGGCACAGGCTAGACTGAATGAGAAACGTTCTTGAAGATGGATTAAAAGCGATCTTATCATCCGATTATTATGTCATTACTTAGATTACCTGAATAGGTCGTGGCGTCTGATGATGTCTCACGCGCCATTTGATTAGTTTTTGGTCTTTTTAAACTTGACCGTTTGCATCTACGCCGGTAACAGAGGCTCAAGACGAACAACGCAATAACCACTAGAACTGCCCCAATCACAACGTAGGTAATCGAACCTGTAAAAAAAACAAAACCAAAAGAACTTTAAATCATGTGCTGAAAGCAAGAGATAGATGCCTAGAATTGATATGTGCAACTTTAAAACTTTTATCTCAATAGCAACTAGTCGACTGTCTAGCTTGCTCATCAAATTGATCACGTCAGGCCGCCATCCGTTGTCCTCTCCCTGAGAATCATTTTTTGACCTGCCACCAACTCTCTTAAAATTGAAGGCAAGGCTGATCGGAGAGCTAAGGTTTACAAATTTATTTGCCCAATATTTCGACTAGACAACACTTGAACCCTATATGATGAACAGACGAGATGAAATTTAATCTATGGACATATATTTTTATGTAACCTTGTTATACAAGTTTTTGTCTATTGTTTTCCGCCACTAATCACAGTTTATTTTTCATTTTTTGTATTATTTTATATACTGTAAGTGTAACCGTTTATTCTATCCTCACTTAGCTTTTCCAGCCCCTGATGAAGACTATAGTTTTGTCTAGTCGAAATATTGGGCAAAAAAAATTGTAAGTCTTAGCTGTCCGATCAGCCTTGCATTCAATTTTAAGTGTTATATTGCTGATCCTGATCAACGACAAGATCCGGCTTTTCCTCGCCCCTGTTTGTCCAAGTGGTCCTTGCAAGACTTGTTCCCCAACTCTCTATATGCTTCAACATCCAAGATGATGGGAGAGCGTTTGTACCATCGCTCGCACTACAAAATACGTCTGCTTTGCAGGCTATCGACTCTCTTTTATAATGAACACGTCTGTAGGACGGACACATCCCTAAAGCGGGCGATTAGAGTTGGTACCTGCCTTCCTCCAGTTTGATTTACTATAAGGCGGATACCAACTGAACTGCCGTACCCAACGATGTTCGTCGTTGAGGGAGTTAAGTGACAGTTAAGCGTAATCTTAACCATATAGCCTACTAAACCTCACATATGTTAAAATTTTTCCTTCCACGTTTTCCTTGGTAGTAGGTCAGTGTATATAAAATAACATACTTATACAAATTTTTCCTCGACAAGTCTCCATGTATAGTGTCAGTCCGTTAGATAGTTGGTAATTTAGTTAATTTGACAGTTAGTTGGTTAGTTAGTTAAATTAGTTAATTAGTTATTTAGTTAACCAGTTATACAGTAGTTCAATCAGTCAGTCAGTCATATCAGTCAGCCGAGAAAACGTCAAGGTGTATTGGAAATATGTAATCATTTTAAAAAAGGCCATAACTGAGTCGACTTACCTTTAGACATTCCATGTGATGTACGACCCTCATCGCATTCACAGGTGTCGGGGTTTAGGGGAACTTTTCTGTTCTCGCAAGCACGCTTGTAAACCCCTTTGCAGACACAGGAACATGCGTTATTGTCTAATTTCTGTAAAAGGATAAGCATATAAAAGTACTTATACCTCATTTCACTTTTACAGTACACTTAGTTTGATATCGGTGCAGAGGGGATCTGTATAAACGAACCTCTCTCGAGCAACAGCAACTACAGTAAAGTGTCATTGAAATGAACACCTTTTTTCTGCACCATCTTCTTTCGGCGTTAAGAGGGCACTTCCCGATTATAAAAACCAATGAAAATGACCGAAGAAAGGCAGAAACAATCGCTAATGACCGGTTATTTAGACAGGCGTCTGTCCGACCCGCCCCTGCTTGTTTTAATAAAGTGCAATTGGGTCTCGTACAGAATTTGTGTGATAGCAATTCTGTAATCACCCGGTTGTATTCCAGTTTTCGTCTATTGGTGTGAACCTACCTAAATGGGTTACAAATGTTAAGATGACTATTGAGCTGCTGAACAAGCAACTCCTTTGGGGTTTAAAATAATTATTTTCAGTCGCTTAGCTTCATTGTTCATTCTACTGTGAAGATCATGTTCACTTTCCGAAAATTTACTATTATTCTGGAACAAGCAGGCCACTAAAACGGGCTTTAAGTTGTAACATTTCTAACACTTAAATAAAACCGTCTTACCTGTTTTGGTGGGCAGCCAGATGGCGATCGATTGCATTGATATTTACAAAGGTCTTTATTCCACCTGAGGGAGAAAAAAGCACACGTCCATGAAAAGAAAAGGAGGAAAAAAGGAGGAAACGATAAAAAAGGGGAGCCCCGTTTCTAATACCAACTAGATCCACTTATGATCACTTCTCTGTAGCGAGTTGCCTCTAATCCTTCCATCTGGATTGGGACTGAAACTCTTGGAGCACTCGGCAACTCGAACAGGAGTGGCTAGAACGGCAACTTGAGATGAGTAGGTCAATTTCGAGCTGCCTCAACTGCGTGGTCTTACATACATACATACATACATACATACATACATACATACATACATACACACACACATACATACATACATACATACATACATACATACATACATACATACATACATACATACATACATACATACATACATATCCTTTATTTAAAAACGATATGGTTTAAAGCTCAAAGCTTGTGGGGTCGTGTAAAAATGATTACAATTGGATAAAACTGTATAAAAATAAGAATAACATCACTTACAAAATACAACTACAATTAAAACTCTAAAAAATATTCAATAAGATTCTAACCAAAAAGTAAAGAAAGAAATAAATAAAAATAAATTTTAAAAAAATACAAGGTTAAAATGAATTTACATTAGTTACCTCTAAGTAAATTGACTACAGCATTTAAAACAAAAAATAGTTAAAAGCATTTAAAATCTTGGTAGTGCCTGGGCGGCGACTGGACCGACTGTGCGCTAAAATCAAGTTCCTTAAAATAAGAGTCCTTCTTCACTTTGCGATAAAAAACAATAAACTGGTCTGTAAAATGACTCGAGACAGCGTTCCAAAGAATAGCGCCTCTATAGCTAATAGAGTTTTTTAAGAAACTGCGAGTTAAAAGGCGGGACGATTATGTTATTACTCCTTCTGAAGTTGTATGCAGTGCATGGTTTATTTGTCAAGTATGAAAGAGCCGTAGGTGCTTCACCTATAAACACGCTATGGAGTTGTTTAATTAATCGAAGTCCTGTCGAAGTTTATAATAGAGGGTTAAAGTATTCCAGTTCGAATGTCGATAAACTTCCTCGGTAGGCATATCTCGGGGCAAGTTGTATATAATTCTGGCTGCCCAACGGTGAAGTACTTCCAGAGAATGTAGAAGATCTGCATTAGGGCAGCCGCCCCAAACGATTAGTCCATATAGAACTGAAGGTAATATTATCTTGAAGTACAAGTCCAATAGGGAGTTTCTGCTCAAAAACGAACTCCTTTTCAGGAGGTTCAGTTTGTTTACGAAATTCTTTTTTACATCTGTAAGGTGACGTGACCAGGAAAGCCTCTCATCGATAGTAACGCCCAAAAGACGAGAGTGTTTCACCCACTCGATCCGATCCTCTCCAATAGTCACAGAATTTAGCCGCCAGATGTGCGGTTTTCTCAATGTCTTAAGCTCATTTTCACACGACAGGTTTTGCAGTTGGCCTCGTTTTAAAACTAAGCAAGAGTTTTTGAAACTCGGAAATAGCTTATTTCTGGGCAAAAATGTGACCGAGCGAGAGAAAACGCTATCTTGTAAAATACTAAAACCAAAAATCCCCACAGGTGTTAGAGATAGCTTAAAATGGACACGTAGTGAAGTGGTAGAAAACGCATGAGTGACGAGTGGGAAAGTAAAATTTAAATGCCGTAAAGCATTTGAGGTGGGGCTAATAGACACGGGGGGCATATTTGAGAGAGGGGGCTTATTTAGTTTAGCTAAGGCAATGGCATCAGTTCTCCATAAAGAACTAGAATGCAAAGTGGAAATGCTCAAGTACAAAAGGTTGAAGTTCATGCAGCCAAACAATAAAACAAATCCGAACTTCCAGGTGGTGAATAATCCATCCTGGATCAGTCCACACGAGGTTTTACAGTCTGCAGTGAATACAGTCTATCATTTTTTTTTTGAAGAATAATAAGAATGAAGAGAGGGGGGATTAAAAGAGAGGGGGAGATTCTGAAAAGGGAGGGGGGGGGGTTATTACAGAGAGGGGCTTATTTGAGAGGGGGGCTTAATAGAGGATTTACGGTATATGAACCCAAAGTAGCCGGTCCAAAAGTAACTTCCTAGTGTACTTCCGTTTGTAACATAGAGTCGGTCATCCTCGCGAAATAGTTAGATGACCGCCGCTATAAAAGAGGTATTCTAACAGAAGGCAACCAATTGGTTATTTACGAGCGTAGTCGAGGATTTGAGCTCGGAACGACCGCGAACAAATCCAGCAAGTGGCGAGAGCGAGCCTCGGGAACGCCGGATTGCGAATCCAACGAGCTGGTCACTCGGCCACGCTACCGCCTTTGTTTACAATATGTATGTTTTATAAGACGTTTAACAAGTGAAATTGCTTTGTTTATCTTGTCAAAACATCGCACTATTATCCAACTAAAATTGGCCAATTGGGAAGCCTAGCTAAGGGGTGACCGCGCTTACTTGATGGAGGTGACCGCTAAATACATGTCAAATAAACGGTGAACTTGGATTTGATAAGCGGCCGCTTAATACACAGGTAAATAGAGGTTTTACTGTATATATGAGTTCTCACCTAGAGCCGTTCTTTGGTTCCATGATGTCACGTGGTGGTGCGTCGTCAAACTTACAGTCACATTTACAGGTGTCTTCATTCCACTTCTTCACGTAAGGGTCGCATTTATCTGGGCCATCTGTCGTACACTCTGCACCGCAGCTTGTGTGGTTGTACATACGGAGTAATTCAGATTTTTTTCTCTCCAAGGAAAAGACTTTTATCTCGATTTCCTTTTGGCCAGTGGCAACGCACTTCTTGGTTTTCGGACTGAACTCCTCCCACGAACCCTCACAACGGTGGAGTCGGACATAGTAAGGTAAAAATCTATGCTGGGGATCAACTTCTACTGTTGCAAGTACTGGTTCGTTGCATTTGACAGGCGGCAGCTTTATCGGCTCAGCCACTGAGAAAGAAAAAAACAGAATAACTGAAAATAAGTAACTGCGGTAACAAAAGTGTCAAAGTGCTACTTTCCCAGCGCCTTTTCTAATCTGTGCTTAATTGGATCCGAATGGGTATTAGCCTCTTGACTGGAGCTGAACGCAGGTAAGGTACAGTTCTTTAACAGTATTTTATAATCGAGGACAAAAAAAAAAGTACAAGCAAAAAAACAGTCACGCCTTTAAAAAACGCAACGAAAGAGTATTATTAATTGAGGATTTTTTACTTCTCATACTGGATCCTACTGTCGACGCAACCGCCATTCTCATATTGTCATCCAAGCCATGCGAAGGCCTAACCGTTTGCAGGGCACGGGCAGAACTTTCATTTCTCAGTTATTTCAAGACTTTGACCATGGGTATAGGTTTGGCCACGAGGATCGAAAACTCTCTCCTTTGTGTCGCAGGGAGGCTAAGGAAAGGAAAAAAAGCGCGCGGGGCACGATGGGAAGGGAAAACTTTCGCTGGTATACCGTAAAATTCCGAAAATAAGCCCCGGGACTTATATTTTTGAGGGGCTTATTTTTGGAGGGGCTTATATTCGGAGGGACTTATCTACGGAGGGATATTTTCGTTTCAAAATCGTTTGGGCTAGCCTTATAGTTGGAGGTAAATTTACCGTTTTTGCTTTTTTTACTTTGTACAAGTATTTGAGGGCAATTTCAAAGTACAAGCCCCTTGGGGGCTTATATTTGGAGGGGCGATTGAGCGTTTTTCTGCGTTGCCGTTCATGGAGAGGCTTATTTTCGGAATTTTACAGTATTCCGCGGTGATCGTACTGCGTTCAATGTATGAAGACTGAAACTAATTGTCCGTTGAAAAATACATTAGCTTTGAAAAGAAGCCGTCACGTTCTCTTAGAGGTTGCGGGTTTTGGAAGAAGAAATGCTGGACTATTTTAGTTTTGACATTCGAGTCAACAAATAACGCCCACAGTAAACGAATATTTCCTCCTTCGCTCCTCAACTGAAATGTAATCCGATCCCAATGGCAAGCGCCCATCAAATTCTTCGCATTCATAACTGAGGTTAATCTTCCATGGCTCGTCACGCAATAATTCTTCCTTCGTTGAAACGGGCGTAGAGTTTCTTAAGCAGGCTTACCATAGTATACAGGAAACCAGCTAAAAACTGTGCGATTAAAATCTAAAAGAAAAACGATCTGCTGTCACCCAAGATTTTTGGACTTAATCGCTTCTTAAACGCCACTGAATTGCACGTTTGCGAGAACTCGATTTCATATTCATTTTCGACTGAAACATCGACTGCCAGGGTCTGATTTAAGCTATAATTCTCGTCAATAAATTTTTTTAAAAAACTATATCATTTTCACAAAAGACGATTTGGGGAATTGAATATTTTGGGGGTTACGGGAAATTTTGCGAAACGCGGAGAAATCGCGAAGTGCCACACCGATCTTCCCATCATGCCGTGACTCCACTAACAGATACCGGAAATAACGTAGTAATGTAATATTTAGTTCCGGTACCGACCTATACTTTTGGTTCCGGTATTAAAGGCAGTTCATTTCAGTTTTCGATTATCCTCCACAAATCCTTAGAGTCATTCAAACCCGTTGAAAAAACAACGACAAACTGTTGTAAAAATTAACTGGAAAACATATCATGATAATACGATAATAGATTACTAAAGTAGTTCTGATACCGTGTGTTTTCGTTTTGGTCATCATTTACAAAGTTAGAAAACGTACCTCGACTGAAGTATAGACGGGGTCTTTATTTTTCCCTAGAAATTAAGACTAAGTTGCAGAAAACCACTCTTCCTTCAACTTCCCAAGGCCGAGAAGTTGGACACTTTCAGATTTTACAGAAAATAAAAAAGGGAATGTGCATATGGTGAGTGCCGGGCACCGGGAAAATATAGCGGAAGTAACTAAGTTATTTATGTTCGAGCGCTCGAGCAGTGAACTTTTGGGCGTGGGTAGCTGGTTCGCTTTCGTTTTCGAATAATTTGAAGGATTGTTAAATTTCTAAGGGCATCCAGAGCCGCAAAATTACCTTAAATTCTTCTTATATTTCCCTTAAAGTGAGACACTTGATTATATTGACATAATTAAGCGCTTCGATTCTTTGTCTTCTTAAAATATCTTTCAATGTGCACGGGTAAAATCCACGTGGACAGAGGGGCCGGGGTTTCCCTGTGTCTTTTGAACTAGAACGCTGTAATTATGGCTTCTGTATTGTACAGAAGATGTCTACATTTTTTTAATCTTTTCTACACTAATAGAAGCAACAAAAAACAAAATTTTGTGGCAAAACCTGCACCATACAACGAAAGACTGTGGAGCGGAAGTGTGTAGAAGCTGGTGTAAAATATTGGGTCGGTTTTCATTCATTCAAGTCAAAGACGCATGGTAATTGACCGACTAAATTCTTTGTACATCACCTTATAATCAGTGTACATTTGAATCGGTCTTAGATGTTCCCCTAGACATCATGCGCTTAATTTTGAGTAAATCAGCTCTTCCCTAAACTCTAATCTGCCGTACTCACGTAGCCGAATGATTCTATGAATGAGTAAATAACAAGTGCTTTTAATACTCACCGTAACCTGGCAATGCGGAGAAAACGTAACAAATGAAGCAGATTATGGCAGAATCCTTCATCTTAAACAAGGTCAACAGCAGGCAGGACCTCTCTCTTTGCCCAGAAGGCGGTTGTAGTGGCTTTTTATACTCGGGAAGCAAGTCCTATCGATCGTCGCTGACTGGAAGCATGTAAAAAATGCTCAAAGCTACCGCTGTCGTGAATATATAACAGTCATTAACTCGGGAATTATCCCTAAAGAGGGTTGGTCAGTCATGCGACCACAGCGTACGACAGGGGAAACAGACAGGGGGAAACAGACAGGGGCCGTGGGAAATTACAAGTCGTATTAAATTAAGTGTCATTTCTTACGACATGCAGCGAATTTATAATACAGTGAAACCTGTATTAAGCGGACACCCTCGGGGAAGGCTGTAGTGTCCGCTTAATACAGGGTGTCCGCCTAATACAGGTTTCGATATATAACGTCGTATGAGGTGTCAAATGCCATTCAAATGAACAATGGAAGCGTTTATAATACTCCCAGAGACTATGACGATAGACATTTGCATTAATTTCTTTATCAAAGTGAACCAATTGATCATAGTACCATAAACGTGGATTGCAACTCAAATTTGAAGAAATCAGATGAGTGAAACAAGCTCTATACAAACAAAACGAATAGAAAACAATCCTGTACTGTGAAACTAATCAAATAAGTTCATCAAGTCACGTTTTTTAATGTAAAAATCGAAAAATTTGTGGGTGGCCATTCGAGGCAATCTTTCGCATTTCCGTGTCTGGCGTGTTGGGTGGTGGAATTTAATTACAAGTGTCCGTTTAATACAGGTTGGCAACAATAGAAATGACCATTTCAGGTACTTTTTAGGTGTTCGCGTCCGCTTAATAGAGGTGTCCGCTTAATAAAGGTTTCATTTAAAGTAAATAAGGGAAATAAATTTGGGGACTTCGGCTACTGTCCGCTTAATAGAGAGTGTCCGCTTAATACGGTGTCCGCTTAATACAGGTTTCACTGTAAGTGTGACGTAAAGGACCCCTAAACATTGAACAGTTTGGTAGTCTGTTACACAGCCCTTTTTTAGAGTCGTCACACAACGCGTGACGACACTAAAAGCGGCTGTGTAGAAGAGTTGCAACCTCGACACCTCAGCATTTCATCCAAGCAAGCAATAAAATTCTTCAAAAAGTTCTCGGTACATTTTAAATGATATTAATGGAATGAAATTGTTTAAAATCAGATCCTTATCCTGATCCTCCTTGCTCAACAGTGTTAATACAGAATTACAAACTTTTTGTTTGGTTTACATACCGAGATAGCGAGTGGAGGAATTGGATACTGATACCGATATCGGTCACTTTCAGTGCTCTACTCCAGTTTATAACGCTTTCATATATCAAGACCTAAAGGTGAATTAACCACATCCTCAATTGATAATTTCCTTATGACTTTACAAAAGCAGGCGCATTTAATTTGTCGAGTCGACTTCTCCTTCATGATCCAACAGTAAAATATTTACTCCACGTTACATATGTTTTATGATAAACAGTCAATTGTTTTATATATCGAAGGCGTATTTCTCAGTTCATGATTCCGTTTATTCCTTGGTGTCAGTGCTAAGTTGATGGCTCTGTTAGGCTGTCGTCTGTGTCAAGAGTGTGAAGGCAAAAAAAACTGTCATAAATTTTCACTGGACGTAAGCTGCTATCTATAACATTTTTATGAGCTTCTGTAGGTATTTAATGTCAGAAGTTAAAAGGACAGCCTTTGTGTGCAAGACTGAAGAGAGCGCACGGAGACGCGTTCTACCCAGGTCTCCTCGACTATCAACACTTTAACTCGTCTCGCTTGTTCCTCGCCCGCTAGCCAGCTGGCCAATCCTTCGGGTCAAGTTTGTGTAGCAGTGACTCGTGGCTCCCACCGCTAAAAAAGAAACCACCTCCTTTGCAGCATTTCAAATACGGGAAAATTTCACTCGATACATGGGAATATGGCGGCACAGGTACAATCATAATAATCACCTCAGCCCCCCTTCTTAATTTAGATATCGCTCTTGAAGGTGAGAAAGTGAAACGAATATATGATTTCTGTCCCTTTACATTTGCGTCATACTCGTGATACATATTAATAGTGCCACACAACGTATTGTTCGCCTTATAGCACACATCTTATCAACAGTCTCAGTCTCAGAGATCGAAAGCTGGAAATATCACATGATAGTTACGATACCTGTGTCGCTGCTTACACCAGCTTACGTCACACGCGTTAAATACTGATTCTCTGCCGCTTGACTAATCATGGCGTCTATAGTTTACCTAGGCCAAACAATCCATACAATCACCTTAAGGTTTATTGACTTTTGCTTAATGTGGAAAACCAGATATTTCGGATTCTCCCAGTGATCGTATGCAAAATTCTGGATCTATTGAAATTTTTGTTCTGGGAGGATCCGGGGGGGGACTCTCTATACAATGGCCTATTCTGGGAGGCACCCCCCGCACGGAAAGGGATACCTTTTCTGGGCTTCAGATGAAAGGGTAGGAGTTGAAGTATATGAAAGGGTAGGAAAATGATTGAGGTTTGTGAAAGGACCTAACAGGGTCAACAGGCGCATTTTATGGCTGTGAAAAATACCCGGGGGGGTACTGCCATATATGGGCTATATAGGTATGTGCCGCTGTGAAGGGTATGGTTTTCAAG